ACACACACACACACACACACACACACACACACACACACACACACGATCAGAGAAAATCCACCTTCGAAAGACCCAAGGTGTGGAGAGAGGTGTATCAAGATAAAGGGGATGCAGTCATGGTGGCCCACAGAGGCAGAGAGACAGGCAGATCTCTATGAGTTAGAGGCTAGCCTCGTCTACATAGTGAGTTCCAAGCCAGCAAAGGCTACACAGGGAGGGAGACCTTACAACAACAACAACAACTAAAACCCCTGACCAACCAAATGGCACAAAATTTTGGGGAATATCTCCACCTAGTGGCCACTCATGGCATAACTGCTAATTTAGCCAATTTTGGTTTCCCTAACCATGCTCTAACCATGGTGCCTTTGGGCTCCATGTTACCTCTGGGCAGCTCTGTTGCTTGAGGTCGATGTGGATGACGCCTCAGGGATCCCCGAAGCCCTGGATATCTGTAGTGGAGACAAGCCAGCTGAAGTCTTCAGGGGTGATAGCTAATAAGGTGCTCCCAATTCCTATTGTTCCTCTAACAGGGGGAGTTATAGCTGCTGCTGAGCCTCTTGGCCCTGGCTGACTCTGAAGCCTGAAACACAGCCTAGTGGGCACTGAAGACAGGACTGAGATTGGCAGATGGTGCTGAGACTCAGGGGCTCCTCAAGTGGAGAGCTTGGGAAGCGAAAGAGAGCCAAGCATGGGGGCACAGTCCTGCATAATCTGGGAGTTGAACCTGGGAAAGAACCTGGGGTTGTAGCTTAGTCCTCTGCAGTGACTCAGCTCTGCTGCAATTCAGATCTGCTGCCATACACTCGGCGCTGGAGACTTCAGTACCAAGTAGCTTGCTGCTATGGGTACGGATGCAGTGTCTGGGAGGTCCTAGGCTTGGTGGGTTCTTACAGAAATGACTGCTGGCTACCCAGTGGCAAAAGATGATGTGCTTTCTGGTGGAAGCCACCTAAGGACCTTAGTGTTTCGTTACAGGTGGCCTATACTGACCGTGATGGTGTGCTGCATCTGGCTCTCTTGCGAGTGGAGGCATGGGGGTTGATGACAACTTGTCTAATCTGATCTAACGGGGGATACAGTCTGTAGGTATACTCTATTTTCTCCACTGAATTACTGCAGATTCTGTAGTGGGTCTTTGGAGTCATTCTGGTTTGTAGCTAATTATGGTTGTGCTGTCGTGGGTAGATGAAAGCTGGTGGTGTTTCCTACTCTGCTATCCTGATGTCGATTTGTGATTTGACTTTGAATTAGAAGTGTTACCGACTTCAAAGCTGATTGATCCAGAGACCACCACTGACTTCTGTGTTCACTAGGTATCGCTAGCTCACTAGGTAAGCAACAGTGTTAGGCCTATTACTATATTGGAGAGGTAGCCTAATTTTAAAAGCACTTGCTGCTCTTGCTGACAACCTGAATTTGGCCTATAATCACCTCCAGCTGCAGGGATCCAACACCCTCTTGTGGTCTTCTAGGACACGGCAGTCACACCACATATAACTTTTTAAGAAAAACGTATAAAGTTATTATTATTGATTGATTTGTCTTATGGAAAGGTTCACATTTGATATAAATTCTATTTATTTAGCAAGATCATGTGAGACTTAAAAAAAAAAAACCCAAAGCAGCTGACAAGAAGACTCACATAGGTTGGAGCTGTGTGTGATTAAAACAAGCAGACTTCGAAAAAAGAGATGGTGGTCGCGGCAAAGCTTGCTTCAGAGCAACCCATCCCGAGTTTCTGGTACTCAGCCTGGGATGAGTTGTCCAGCATCAGGTTCCCTGGCTATCCTAATGATCAGAAGAGGAGACCTGAAGAGACCCCATTATCCAGAGACATTTCTGTCACTCTTCCAGTGAATGAAGAGCGGCTGACTGTTCTCCACTGCACATCAGTACCATGCTCAGTAAGGGAGTCCACCATGACCAGCGGGGGGCAGCATCTCCATGGTGTGTTAAGCACCAAGCATGTGTGTCTGCTCTCCTTTTCTTTGCCCAGCCCCTGGTAGGAACCCCAGACACGGTGTTGTAGTCTCTTCCCATCTTCATCTCTGTGTCCCAACCGTTCCCACCTGACATAGCATGGACCTCACGTTTACCCACTAGCTTAGCTTAGCTTAGCCTTTCCCTAGTCATAGCCACAATCT